ATGGGCTCTGGATCAGATCCAAGTGCCTTATACAGCTGACCACCCTGGGACATTGCCCCATACCTTTTACTAATGGGAATGGAAAACATTTTAAAGGCACTCAGGCAAACGCATCCATTGATTTTAATGCAGCTTGGCCCTGGACCAGTCTGGCCTACTACAAGCATCTGATTACTAAAAGCCAGAAGTAACTTTTAGTATTCCTCAAACTGCAAACGAGGCACACATGGTTCCACATCTCCCCCTGCCATGCTCAGGCTCCAGCAGTATTAAGGAATGGCTTTAGATCCTTTGCTTTTGAGGCCGATCCAGTCTTCCAAGCCTGCAAGAATATAGATGAATCATTATCGTTGTTGTTATTATTATGATGCTGCAGGACTTGATATCACTGGAAATCATCACACACATTCATTTTCAGCAAGGCTAAACTTCTGAACTTCTAGAGTTGTTTCTTTTATGTTGCCTTCCACAAAGACGTTCTGTCCACTTTAGCAATGCATGGAGTAAGGGTGACAGCCTGTGGCAAAACAGAAGAATTTCAATACCTTAATCCTATTGATTTCCACTTTCTTTTGATCTTGGCTGTACTTCCTGCTTGTCAGGAAAGACAGAGGTGATAAAGCTTGGGTCAAACTTTTTTAGCTGCTGCGAGGAACCTCTGTTTCTTTTTTCTTTTTTGCTTTTTATTTGTTTCAAAGATGAAAAATTGTTTTTTTCCCTCCCACCCCTTCAGCCTTCCCCAACTTGGGGCCCTAAGGCAAATAGCAATAAATAGTAAAATGGTCCAAACGGGTGCCATTTCTGATTGCAGAACTTGAAGGCTCTGGGTCTGGCATACGCTCTTCCAGGAAGTCTCCCCCGTGCTTGTTCTGGTGGGATCTCAGTCTGGGTTTGACGCCAGCTGAGGAAATGGAAGAGCAGCAAAGAGCTGCTCCAGTACAAATTCTCTGGGTGCATTACTCTTGCCCTGTTACTGTTTATCTGTGGCATTGGGCTGATAGGTATTAAAGCCACTCCTGAGCTGAGGTCTTCTAGTTGGCAGGGCAACAATCTGCTATCTCACCAGCAAGGCAACAGACTTCTTGCTTCTAATAACATGTTAGTCATTTTTCATTCCTGAAATTTCTATGCTGGGTTGGGCTTTTTTTTTTTTCTTCTTCGGCTTGAGCAGTAGGGTTAAGAAAATCTATATTCTTTCTATATTGTGCCTGAATTAATGAAATAAATCTTCTTTAAAGTGATGTTAAATGAGTCACAGATGGTTCTGCCCTTTTACAGGTTGCAGAAATGGCCCATTACAGTTCTTTTAATTTATCTGGGGGGGGGGAGAGGAAATAAATGCCCTCTTGATCCCTTTGCAATAATAATCAGAAACACTCTATTTGGGGTCTAATTTATCCAAAATATGTATTGATAGTTGCAATGAAGAATATGTGACCTCTTTGGAAGTCACCAGTGGATGGAAGGTAGATAGTTTTTATAAAACCACATTTAATAAAAAAGAGTGTTATATTGAGTATGTTTGCTGGTGTATTTAAGCATATGGTTTCCATATCAGGAGCTAAGATGGCAAACACATGCTTTACCTTCTGACTAACCTTTCTTATATTACCCACTCCTTACAAACAGAAAACTGAGAGAGGTTTTTTGTTGTTTTTTTTTCAGCTCTGATTATATGAAATGGTGCTGAAGAATTTTCAAAAAGCGTGTAAAGCTTATACCTTTCTACTTACGCAGAAAGAAGCGATGAAATACAGTTTGGCTCTTGGTCTCACCCCATTGACTCCCTTTCCGTCTTGCTGGGTGTTTCTCTTAAATTTACTGAGTAATGATTTCATGCTTTGTAGACTCATTCTTTAAAATCCTGCTCCTCTGTTGTCAAATGTGGGTGCCCTAACACAGGGCCCTTATGTGAATGCTTGAATTAATACTTGAATACTTGAATTAATAGCCTGATTCTCCTGGCAGTCAGTAGCTACAGTTACAGGATTTCTGAGTGCTCAGCACCTCTGGAAATAAGGTCACCTCCCTTGTTTGTGGTGCCTACAGATGGATTTGGGGACTTAATTTAAGCATCTAGGCTTGCACTTTTTACCCCACCCCCCCCCCCCCGGTAAAATTTTCCCCCCCCCCCCACCCAAGGTAATATTTCCCCCTCACCCCTGTGACTAGTTTGGCTTTTAATTCAGAGCACACTAAAAATGTTACGGACAGAAACCATAACTCTCACATAAACCAAACCCTCTTTCTATAATGCAGTTCCTAGAATTCAAGAGTTGTAACCAACTGTACCAAACTAGTGCCAGGGGGGAAGCATCAATAAAAGGTGCATTATTGGCTCTTTTATAAGAGTGCTTTTAGTTTTCCAGTGGCAAAGGCCCAGCTCTTTCCATCCTGCCTTTGCAAGCCCAGTCACAACGCCCTGGAGCCAAGGAGCAGTGACTGCCCTGCAGGATGAATGATCCACAGCCAGAGTTCAGGGCTCTCCCTGATAGCACTTACTTGCTTCGCTTTAGCCAGTTATAAATCTCGTGGTGCCATTGCTTTTTCGTCACTTGCCTAATCCTGTGCCCTTCTTTTCATGTGTTGTAATTACTAACATCTGCTTTCTGAGCCTGAGCCGTGCGGAGCTTGCAAAGGCAGCTTCCATCCAGAACAATGGCAACAGCTGTTTCATTTACCCTTGGGCCAGCGCTTCCTGTTCAGTCTACAGCTGCCCTTCTGTGTCCAATTTATGTTCAGGGGGGTGTCGGTGACCTTACTTTCTGGGTAAGAAAAATGCCTGCCTTACCACTCCGGCGAGTGTTTCCCGCGCCGGCGGAGCGGAGGCGGCTGCGCGCCGGGTCCAGCGGGGCAGCCCGGGCAAGGGGCGCTGGGGGTCCGCGCTCCGCGGCGAGGGCAGGGCGAGGAGGAGCGGGCTGGAGAGGATGCTCCTGCCCTACCCGGCCACGGACCCGGGGTCCCCGAGGGCAGAGCCCCTGCGCTGCCCGCCTGATGCGCCCCGACGGCTGTTCCTCCGAGCCGTGTCCCTGGAAGGGGGGTCCCCGGGAGCCCCCCGCAAGGCTCCGCGTCCCACTCCCGCTCCAGGCTTGCAGAAAGACCTCGGTTTGCAGGGGGATCGGGCCCATGGACGGGGCTGCCACCGGAGCAAACCCTGCCCGGTCGGGGAGGGCGCAGGGACCACGCGAGCGAAGGACACGCGGGGCTGTGAAGGCAACTCGGGCATCTCCAGCGGGTGCCCCCGGGGCCACTCGGCCCTTTACCCGGGGGGCCTCCCCCGTCCTCCCCATCAGAAGTGATCGGGGACCACCTTCGTGATCATCCTCCTCCGGGCCGTGAAGAGGTCGGGGTTGCTCACACGTAGCCATCCTCAGTAGTGATAAGTATGAATGATTATGAGAGATTAGTCTTATGGAGAGTTAGATGGTGGCTTGCACAGGAGGGTTTGGATAGGGGGTGGACTACAGGAGCTCTGGAGGTCCCTTCCTGCCCGACTTCCCTGTGATTCTAATAATAATAATAATAATAATACATTATTATTATTATGATGATGATTATTATTATTGAGGCGCTGAGCTGAGGAGGGGAGGGTCCGCGGGAGGCAGCGCCGTGCGCCCCAGCGGGTGCGTGGGCTGGGGAGCCCACGAGAGCCCAGGAGCAGGATCGGGTCCCGCGGGAAGGAGCGCGGTGGGTGTCACTGCTCGGAGCTTGTCTTGCATGTTTTGGCCAAGCCCCGGGGACAGGTGCATGGCACCCGGATGAACTAAGATCTCGGTCAGCAGGATCCCGTGTCGCACAGAGCCGTGCCCCCCGCCTCTCCCCTGGGCACCCTGTAGCACTCTTGTGCCAGTCCATCCTCTCCCGTCTGTGCGCGGACAAGCCCCGCACTAGCGACCCAGGAGACTCCGAGCGGGCTCCCGGGGGGGCCAGAGAAAAGACATCCCTATCTGCACCGCCTGGATTTCCTCCAGTTGCGCCTCCGCGTTTTCCTGCCTTCCCTTGCCCACAGAGAACGAGGGAAATGTTTCAGTGGGGTTTTTGCAGGGCAAGAAAAACCAGACTCGGGGGAAAGGGGTTGCTTATAAATAGGTGGGATTTCAAGACCCCGCTGTTCTCGGCCACACTCCGCTCAAACGTGTTACTCGTCCTAGCTGACGTGCAGCCGGGCTGGGGGCCAGTCTCCGCCGCTGCAGCTCAGTCCCCCGGCGTCTCCAGCCCTTTCTTGGCAGGGCAAGGGGAGCCCCACTGACACCAGGTGAGGCCCCAGCCCCGGCGGGCAGCTCCGGGGAAGGCTGTTCTGCAGCCGGGCTCCTCCAGCTCCTGGAGCAGGTCTTTCAGGTTCACAAAGCAAAGTCAGTCTTTCCTTCCCAGCGCCGCTTCTCCCACGGCCCCGCGGATGAAAATGCAAACGGTGTTGCTCAGTTTGTGGCATTGCTGATTAGCCTCACTCCTTTGGGCTGTTTTAGGGGATGCTGAACGGTTTGCCTACGCGGAGGTGTCTCTCCAGGGCTTCTCCGCACGCTGGCATGGGGGGACCCGGCACAGAGATGGGTGGCAGAAGGGCTCAGCCGCTCCCAGGGGCCAGAGCCCTGTCCCCCCCCCCCCTGTGCCCGCAACAAGCGTCCCGGGTGGAGCTGTATGGCCCGGGAGACAGGAGGTGTCAGGGGCCAGGACTGGGACAAGACCAACGGGGTTTCGGAGCCTGCACTGCGGCCCCCGCAGACCCACGGGGCTGGGGCAGGTTGGAGGAGGACGGGATCCCCCAGGACTGTCTTCCGTGGGCTCTTTGTCCCGACACCCCTTCCTACGGATTTCCCCGGGGGAGGGGCCGGGCGAGCCTTTCCGCTCCTGTCTGGGGAGTACGAAGCTGCTAACTCTCCTGCTTGTCTCCCAGGTGAGGTTGGATTGGATCCCCTCCACCACTAGCCGTCCTCACTTCTGGAGCCACGGGGCTGCGGGAGATCTCCGCTTCCAAGCCAAGCGTCTTGCCCTCGGGGCTGGGGGCATGAAATGTCTCCAAATTGTGACCCCTGAAGACTCCAAAGCCAGAAAGCGCAGACAAAGAACCGCACGTTTCGTTTTCCTTTGAAGTCTCATGATTTTCCCCTGCCTCCCTCGCGGGTTTCAGACGTTTGAGGCAGCGCTTACAGATGTGGCTGCAGCGGTGCAGCGCCGCACCAGCGCACCGGCGCCCAGCCCGGCCCCGGACCTGGCTGCTCGTCCCTGCGGCCAAGGTCTGCAACTCAGAGTATGGGTTTAAGAGCCAACACGCCTAAATCCGATGTTTGAACCGGGAGACGATTGAATCTCTGTGCGCGATGCCCGGCACCTCCGCGGTGACGATGTGTGTTCAAATGAATAACACTTCGGGCAATGTAGTGAAAGGAGGGGGGCAATGGCAATATTGGTATATTGCCATTGCTAGCCGCCTTTACATATGCAGTATATATATTGCCATTGCTGGTTATATATATGCAATATATATATTGCTGGCCGCCTATATATGCCACTGCTGGTTTTATATATATATATAAAAAATATATATAACCAGCATATATATAACCTCGTTACATGTATATGCGTGTGTGTGCATTTTATATATATGTCTCTGTGTGTGTACACACACGTGTGTGTGTGTGTGTGTGTGTGTGTGTAAAACCTCATTGCCTGTCTATATTGCCATCTCCTGTAAAAAGAAATCGCTGGCAGCCAAAGAGGTCACATATACCTCATTGCAATTATCCATATATATTTTGGGTAAATTAGACCCCAAATAAAGTATTTCTGATTGTATATACACACCACACATGTATGTATATGTGTGTGCAATACATGTATATATGTGTGTATAACCTCATTACATTAGATATAATTTCTAATGTGAATACATTATCTATCTTGCCACCCAAGGATATATCTATATTGCCACCCAATAATATCATATATTACATTATATATAACGCATATATAAATTATATATATAAATGTAATGAAGCTATATGAATGTAGATCTGTATAACCTCATTACATTGTATATATATAATTTCTAATGTGTACAAAAACGTTTCCTTGCATTTATTTGAGCAGTCCTGGGCGAGAGCACAGTTCTTCCAGCAGCGGCTCTCCCGTGCCATGTGCTTTCACCTGTTTAAGGTGAAATGCTCCCTCTATTGAGAACCGGACCGTGCCCCATTTTTTCCCCCCGTGGAAGCAAGAAATCTCATAAGCCCCACGAAGAAACATGATGCTGGAGGGAGGAGAGAGATCCAGCAGTGTTTCCTCCCTTCTCCCAGCCTCCACGTCTTTGGGAGTCACGGACCTAGCCCGGGGCAGCCATGAAGACACGGCTGCAGAGGAGGTAACTGTGTCAGGAAGGGGGCAGTCCGAGCAGTGATGGCTCCGTGGTGGACAAGCAGCCCCTGGCCCCCATGCCCAGGGGCAGCAGGCTCTGCTCCTTGCAGCACGGGTGGACGCGCTGCCTGTCCAGGTCCTCACGACTTGCTGCTGCTCAGAAAACCTCTTTCTTCTTCTCTCTTCTATAACCTGCAACGCCTGGAAGTCACTGGGCTGCACCTCCAGCCAGGCTTGCTGCGTTTTCAGGGCTGAGGAGGGGTGGAGGTGCAAGTAGGAAGTAGCTTTGTATTACCTCCATTTCCCCTTCACCTGATCGCGTAGCCGGGTTGCTTCACAGCGGTGCCTAGAGCAACCCCTGAGCTGCCTGGCACTGCCCCCGGAGGGCCATGCTGCCCATAGGTGACCCTCGGGGCACAACCCGGCTCCAGCCACGTCCCCTTTCTGCTCGGTCCCTAAAGTCGCAATGACCCCCTGGGACTCCACCTCTGCCTAATCTATGTCGCATTAGTGCCCGCGGTGTCAAGGCACCAGTTCCTGGTGGCCCTTGGGGTGTCCTGGAAATGACAGGGCATGCCTTTGCCACCAAGCCGGCTGCCAAAACTCCGCGGAAACGATGTGAAATGCGAAGTACCCCATCCATGGATTTGCCCAGGGAAGCGCTGCAGCATCCGTGTCCGGCTCCAGGGGGTTGCTCCTTGCACACTCAGCGCCATGCTGAACCCAGGGTGATTTATTCCAAAACGAATCGCACTCCGAAACACAGAAGTACGGGCTCCAAAGCTTTCTGCGAAGGAAAACCCCTTGTCATACGTTTTCCACGTTTTACTTTTCAATAGGTGCTTGTGAGAAGTGAATGCACTGCCTGGCAGGGATGGGAACTCGCCAGGGACAGGCAGCTTGACCCCCTCCACTCTGCCCAGATCAGGACCTCACCCCTGCTCCCAGCGACCACCCTCCCGAGGGCCAGCCCTAGTGCAGTGTCCTCCAGCCCGGCCCGGATCCGCTGCCCTGCATCACGCGTGGGGGTGCTCTGCCCCCTGCACTGCGCGACAAAGAAAGGACAAAGACGCAGGTCGCACAACGGGATCAAGGTAACTACTTGCTGACAGGTGTATCGTGTCACCCCAATTAAGATGCTGTTCATTGCTTCTACAAGCGTCCTGTTTGCTTCTCATTTTAGAAGTGTAAGAAGTGCCTGGGCTGGCTTCACTTCGGGAATGGGGGATCTAGCATTTATTTTTTGCAGGAGCGGTGTTGCTATTCATCACTATGCATTATTTGGCTTATCCTAGAGGAGCCCTAAGAGCAGGTCATTCCCCCACTGTTCTGGTTTCTGCGGGGACACAGCCCAGGAAACCTCCTTGAATCAATTTACCTCTATTAATATCGAGGGTGGACTCTTGTCCCATGCTATTCTGGAGGCAGTTCTTCCCTTCTGTGCTTTAAGATCAAGGTGGCAGTAACCACTGCACACCAAAAGTTGTATCATTTTCCCTTCTTCACAGTGTTACTGGTTAAAAAAAATGGCACAGCCAAATGTACAGCCCTTTGGAGGAAGAAAGGAGTTTCTGGCTGCCTGCAGTGTGGGGGCATATTTCATTTGCCCAGGTCCTGTGCTGCATGGTGTATCACTGCACCGTGTTTTATCAGACCACTCGCCCTAGTCAAACCCCAGTTTACACACTTCACTCCAAATATGCTTCCTATTGGAATGTGTCCCTTTATTCAGGGAGGGCTGTAATGTCACCCTTTTCTCTCCGACATTCACATGCTGCCATCTACTGTGTGAGAGCAAATTTACAAGCCTGACAGTTCAAGTATTTCCTGATCATCACATTAAAAGTGCCCTTAATACGAGTCAATGGAAACCCTGAGGATGATTTTTATAGATGCTAAGTTCCTCCAATTGAAGGTAAAGTGGGTTGTGAGTGTCTGGCACCTCTGCAAGGCTCTTGGTTTCAAATTGGTCATCCAGAATGGGAGGTACCCAGATTAATATCCACAGTTAAACATGTGCACTGCAGTCATCCTGTTAACATGCGGTTACTCACGGTGTCACTTTTGAGGCCCCCAGTTGTGCAGACTGTTCCCTATTCCTAGGAGACTGCACATTTAGACTGACTTATTGATCTGGGTTGTGAAAAGTTTTTAAATGGAGTTGGGGGGAAGTTAAGTGTACATATTTTCATAGGGTTTTTGGTTGTAGTGGTGTTGATCTAAGGACATAGGCAGGCAAGGTTCTTTGGGTAGATGTGATGTCTTTTATTAGACTAACTGAGTAGTTGGGAAAAAGTTCCTTGGAGTATCAGAACAGCAAAGACTTCCTATGCCTAAAGAAGGGTGATTGCACAGATAGCTTGCAAATAACCTTTTTTCCAACTACTCAGTTGGCCTAATAAAAGATACCACATCTAACCAAAGAACCTTGTCTGCCCATATTTTCATAGCAATTCTGAATGATCATTTAAGTCCCCAGATAATTCAGCCAGAAAGATAAGAGTGGAAGCTTGTGGACAAATTACAGTAAAGATTCTAGGAGGACAGGAAGCAGTGATCAAATGATCAGAGAAGAAAAAAAAAAAAATCGCAATTTTCCTGGGTTCTGTTCCTAGTTCTGGAGTAATTTTTTACCTGAAGTTAGGCAAGACATTTAGTGTCACCATTTGCTTACTATAGAAAAAGTAAGGATAACATTTCTCTACTTCATATTTTCTGTAAGTCTTAATTATTTTACTGGGAAGTATTTTGAGACCCTCTTGTGAAAGTTGCTCTATAGGTACAAGTTCCTTTGAGGCTTATGAAATATCGGTTGCATTATGTCCTGCCAAAAGTAAAGACCACATGTTTTAAACAGATAAAATTCCTTTCCAAATCAAGGGCTGAATGCAGATTTAAATGATAAAGACAGCTCATCTTTGTGTTGGGCTAAATCAAAACCTCATATCTAACATCTCCAAACTTTGGAGCGTTTGAAATCCGAATCAGAACTTTGTGTTTCTGAGTCCATCTAAATATGTGTGCATGCTTGTTTGATTTAAAAAAAAATCCTGCTG